GTAGATACGGCATCTAAGGCCTTGCCTGCTCGACCCATCAAACGAGAATAAAGCCCATATCAACCCTCTCAACGTAGCAATCAGGTATTATTGTATACCCATTTTTGTCAATCAGATTAGGGCAGGTTACGATAACTGACAATTTCGAGACCTCTGTCGCACTCAGGTATTTCTTTATCAGGAAGTATTCATTGAAATGAAATTGCAATAACTACGAGGTTGAAATATTATTTCTTATGTATGAAATTATTCTTTTGAGAGAACAGAATAATAGTGTACGCAATATAGTGTTTCATGTAGTGGTCTAGTGGTACATTTTATAATACTAGTAACGATTGCATAAACATGATAAATAGATAACAGACAAGTTAAGCATTCAAAATGTTATACAGTTTTACAAAACTATATATCTTTTCATTTGTATATATATAATTGCCAATTGTAAAGATATTCTTATATAATCAACAACACTGGACAACAAATCTATAGGTTGCACTTTGTAAATACAGCTGTTTCTCAAACCACGCCTCTTTTGGGGAGATATTTAATATTCATAGGTATGTTAATTTGTTAACGTACTGGTTCCCATTGATGATCTCTGTGTTTCATCTCATAGAGACATCACTTGGGAATGTAACCAGTATAGATAAACATGGTAGCGGCTAAATTTTAATTCTTAGGAGGTCCAAAAATGGAGGTAAGGGTAGTATAGAATTTTAGTATAAGTTTAAACTCTTAGAAGTTCAGGGCATATAAATGTTGAAAATATGCCGCACAGCCCTATATTTTGACCTTTGAATAAAATAGTAGTGCATATAAACTTTCCGTTCTGGGAACTTCATAGTAAAAGTGTCACAGTTTTAGCCGCAAAGGGAGTTCCTATGGGAAATTGCATTGTCTGTATTTACAGAATTGCAACCTATAGAGGGTTAAAAAATAGAACATACAGAATTTCACAAAATCTGGTTTATCTCAGAGATTTTAAAGAATTTAACTCAAATATGAAGTTTTATAAATATTTCATGAAGATTGAGAAAATCCTGGGCCTTAACTATGATGACTCAGCATAAATTCACGGTTTACAGTATGCATGGTTTACTTAAAGCCCTGAATTCAAAATAAATTCATAATATATGCCTATTTGTAATTTAAATTGTTTAGAAGTGCTTATATTTACTCTTCGCAGTAATTGCAACTCATTGATCCTTCCTAAATATTTCTGGTGGGGTGTTTTTGTCCTGGCGATAACCCAAAAGTAAGCCGTAACTTCTAAATATGCTTTTTTGTGACTGCGGCATAAAAAAGTACAAGCTAGAATTACAAAAAGACCTCAGTAAAACTTACAAATGTGTGTTCTATCCTAAATATGTAGTAAATATTTCACATTGCTAGAAACAGGGGAAAAAATTAGGAAATGTGAGGCCCAGGGGCAAAAAAACAGAGGAAAATGCCTACCCCTGAGTCATAAAACAGACAATTTAACTTGTAAATGCTATGATTTTTTTATTTTAAAGGTCTTTTATAAAGTAAACAATAAATGTGCTCGGAAGTTATGCAAAAATCAGATGTAAGCAGTCATTTTAATCAAACTTTTAGTGAATTTATGCACCAGACTGATATCTTCATAAATTCAACTTTTGCAAATATGCCTTTGTTTAAACACTTCTAGGACATATATTAACTAACTTATGTTAGATATATGGTTAGGGATGATACTGTTGTGACAAGAATTCTAAACTGACCATTTGAGGCAGAAATTGTGAACTTTCATTGACAAATAGGCATACAGTAAGATGTGGACTGGAGACACAGGCAGGATTGGATACTTTGTATAATCTTGAATGTTGGAATGCTTAACTACTAAACAAATCATTTATAGTATTCTAAAATCCTTTCAATTTGTTATCAGAATAGTTTCAAACAGGTTTTAGACAGTTCATGTCAGAAAACATGCACATAGGGTAAGCTGGCAATAATTAGAGTCTTGTTTTCAAAATCTTTAAAAAATTGAAACAGGGGTAGGGGTATAAAATGTACTGTAAAAGGAGACTTAGAGTATATGCAGTGATTTCTTTAAGGCTATAATTCTGATAAATAAGTATTGTTGTGAGAAAAAGTGTTTTTAGAGAGTTTTCTATTTGAATAAATGTTTGTATAGGTTGCACTTTGTAAATACAGCTGTTTCTCAAACCACGCCTCTTTTGGGGAGATATTTAATATTCATAGGTATGTTAATTTGTTAACGTACTGGTTCCCATTGATGATCTCTGTGTTTCATCTCATAGAGACATCACTTGGGAATGTAACCAGTATAGATAAACATGGTAGCGGCTAAATTTTAATTCTTAGGAGGTCAAAAAATGGAGGTAAGGGTAGTATAGAATTTTAGTATAAGTTTAAACTCTTAGAAGTTCAGGGCATATAAATGTTGAAAATATGCCGCACAGCCCTATATTTTGACCTTTGAATAAAATAGTAGTGCATATAAACTTTCCGTTCTGGGATAATATTTTTCACGAAACTTCATAGTAAAAGTGTCAGTTTTAGCCGCAAAGGGAGTTCCTATGGGAAATTGCATTGTCTGTATTCACAGAATTGCAACCTTTAGAGGAGTATGATTTATAGCTTTGGAAATGAGTCAAGCTGTTTAAAATTAATACGATTTTTTATAACATAAATTAGATTATTGCTTATATTATGACTGGTTTGGCAATGGAAGTAAAAGTGAAATTAAGTATTTTTCAATAACAAATTTAAATAAGAAGGATTTTTATCAGCAGTTCAAACGATATCCTTAATAAAGTTTTGCTGTTTACAAGGAAATTATTGAGCTACGGATTCTAGTCGTTTACAGACGCTTACATTTTTTAAAAAATACGGAAAACCTTTCGAATTTATAGAACATCATGCAGGACTTCGTGAATTGCATTTGGTGTCTTATAGCACGTGCATTTAAAATCTACTTCAGTATTGTATGGACTTGAAGAAATAAAAGCTACCAAGGGATTAAAATTTTAAATATCTGAATAGCTGAGTGATCGAACATTCAAACCATTAACAGATACAAAAAGTGCAGTAAATAGACATATGATGCATGCAGTTGTGCATTATAAAAATGTTCTAATTCTCCAACCTTGAAAACAATAAAAATAGAGGGACAGCATATATAAACTAGTGTTATTTTATAGCGTATGGATAAGAGCAAAACGCATTAAATTCGGAAAATTAGTTAAAAACGAATTAAAGAATATCCTAAACAATCGAACAACAAAACATGATATATGCAAGGGGAATCCTAAATATCAGTACAATCACCCTTTAAGAATAAAGTACCTTATATTTCAGCATCACTTAGTCCAATTCCTGCACCTTTTGATTCCTGCAGTAAGGATGTGATGTCAAATTTGCCTTTATTTTTCATTTTTCATCTTGCGTGCAAATATCGGTTTACTCGCAACCTTCCTAATGCGTACAAATTTTTAATGAGAAAGTACGGAATGTAATATTGATCAAGATGCAATATGTTTTACGAATAGGAAGTGTTCTACCATTTAGGTATATAGTCATAAAAGAAAAAATTTCGCAAATATTGCATTTATATTTTACAAAAACATCTACACGGAAAATGTAATAGTATTTTTGGACGGACTTGCCAATAGTATTGGACAGTACAACATACCATATCAACTACCAACAACCATTTCTTCAAGGACGTGCACTCAGAGAAAATGAATACATTACAAGGTCAAAACTGCCAAAATATAATGTCAAAGCGATTTTATGAAATAAAGCGAAGTTGTAAAATATTAAGGAAAAATGTGTGAATTGTGATCTTAGAAAAAGCTATAAAGTGTCAAATGTGATTGCAGAAACAGACAATAAAAGAAGAAACCATGACTTGGTAGGAGACTGTAGGAAAATGATTAGTTTGGTTATGCATCGTCATAGCACAAGTTACGTTACTATTGTATTTTGAAATTAGCTATTAGTAAAATTGCAATAGTTTAAACGAGGTCTAGCAACTGACGTCAGATATTCAATATCTTCAATGAATTCATTTATTAAATGTCTAGCAATATGTTAATGATGCTTTTCCATTGTTGAAGATAATATGGTAACAACTAAAAGTTGTTTGTTAACTTTGGTTGTTAATTTCCATTCCATAGATATTTGTCCACACCCGTCCTTTAAGATATTATACAAAATGACATAATAATGCTTATTACATGCAAAAATACTCTAATCTATCAAATACTAAGTATTACAAAAGTAATGAAATCAAACTGCATAGGACATAACCATGACCGATAGAAAGGAACAATTTCAAACACTTATTCGATGACATTGATGACGTCTTCGTGTTTTCGGAAAAAAATTGATGCAAAATAAAGGCAACAGTGGTATACCGCTATTCGAAATTCATAAATCGATTGAGAAAAGAACAAATATGGGTTACAAACTTAAACTGAGGGAAACACGTCAAATATAAGAGGAGAACAACGACACAACAGAAACACAACACTAAAATGCAACACACACAGAAACGAACTATAATATAACAATGGCCATTTTCCTGACTTGGTACAGGACATTTTAAGAAAAAATGGTGGGTTGAACCTAGTGTTGTGGCTAGCCAAACCTCCTGCTTTTATGGCAATGTTAAATATAACATTAAAATGACAAGATTACATGACAGGACTACAATACAAAAAAAATGGGATAACATACAGGACAGAGACACACACAAATAAAAGCTATCAAAAGGTACCAGGCTTATAATGGTATACGCCAGACGCGCGTTTCGTCTACATAAGACCCATCAGTGACGCTCAGATCAAAAACGTTCGCAAGCCAAAACAAGTACAAAGTTGATGAGCATTGAGGACCAAAAGTTCCAAAACGTTGTGCCAATTACGGCTAAGGTTATATGCCTGGGATAAGAAAATCCTTAGTATTTAGAATAATTCATACTTTTGCAAACAGTAAATTTATAAAAATGACTATAATAGATATACATGTTAACACCGAAGTGGTGACTAACTACAGAATAAAAACGAATACGTAAAACAACCTAAATCAGCACATAAAAAAAGCACAGCCGAACAACGTATTATATGTTAGCCGAAGAGATCGACGCACAATGTGACGTCACATACAAATTTCTATCCAAAAAATAGGATAGAGTTAAAGATTTGGTTTGTAATACTGATATAACATGTATTAAAAACAATGAAAATTACAATACTTATTAATATACAATTGTGGTAGTAATTAGATAATTATTTGTATTATCAAGCTATGTCGGTATTTCTTCTAAATCAAACTGTAAACCAAATACATCGTATAAATTTAGTTGACCCAAACTAAAATCTTATAAATGATCTGGGTGTTTAATTATATATACCGTAGCACACGAATAGAACAGAAAAAAATAAGACTTACAACTACAAACGATAAGACATTTGACAAAATCCGATGAGAATAACAAATATAACATCAAAACTAAATACATGGATTTTGGATAGAAAAATACCGTGACACGTCTTATAGCAATGCGAATTAACACTCAGCAAAACAGTCACAACCGGGAATAAGTCACGTTCGGTATTTAAAAGATCAGACGACGTAATGGCAAACCACAATCTAACACGTGGTAAAAATGTCCTTTGTTAGTTTGGACAAAGACACATCGTATGAATTAACCAATTCGTGATGGTGTCCATTAAATCTACGGATTGTCATTTTTAATCTGTCCTCCTCATAACTTTGTTGGAGCAGTTTCTGCGTTAGGAGCACACTCCTGTATATGAAGTCCATACAGTGTGAACATGCACGATCATAACGTATCAACTGAGATATGTAAACACCATACGAAGGGGCAGCGGGCATGTTACTGCTAAGAAATGGGAAATTGGTAATTGGGAAGTTCCCGTTTATCATAGATTTTCGTGTGAAATCGTCCATCTGTGTCAATATTGAGGAAAAGATCAAGGTATGAAGCAGTCCTTCTAGTATCAGTAGTATCCTTAATTTCAAGTTCACTGGGATATATGAGATGTAAGTATTTGCTGAAATATGGGTTATCAATGATAGGACATCATCAATATATCTGAAAGTAAAATTAAAGAATTTCCCAAGGTGCTTTTTTATTTTTGTCTTTTAGAAGGTTCTGAATGAATTCTGCTTCATACGAGTACAAAAAAAATCGGCCAGTAGAGGTGCACAATTAGTAACCATTGGAATACCGACTGTCTGTTTAAATATCAATCCTCCAAACTCAACAAACATATTGTCGATCAAAAAGTCCAGCATTTTGATAATATTATCTTCAGTATATTTTCTGGCAGATTCAGTTTGGTTCTGCACAAAATATGAATTATTGTAACCCAAAACAAGAAATTTGTATCTACGATTCCCATTTTTATAGAAAAAGCTCAAGCACAATTCCTGAAAAGAATTCAGAAAGGCTGCTATCTGGGATTCGTTATTACTAACGACCAAAAACTCTTGTAAAGCCTATAACTACGCAATATTTCATGTATCCGCTTTCATTAACTACACTTAACCATAAACATCAAGAAGAGAGTACATTGTTCATGAGATAATGTGTATAGTATTGTATGGCACTTATATGAATTTAAACATTGCAATACAAAATATAAAGTCGTCTTATGTGTCCTACAAATATGCATAACGATTAACAATAAGACAATTATCTACAAATAGTCTCACGGCTATCAAAAATAAAGTCACTGAAAATAAATTTGATAAAAACCAGTAACAAATTGCATATATAAACGTGTAAGGTCCTCGAAAAAAAAACAGTACACAGACAGTGATATTTCATTTAGCCACATACCTAACAATACACATTAAACGTTATGTAAGGATACCGTATTTTGTATCACACACTTTCCGATTTTTTCTTTAATAAGAATATTTAACGCGCATTGTTGTTCACTATAAGTAGTTCATCATTTTTTTGATCATAATCAATCATCGTTGGTCTTTCAATGGCATATACGCTTTCTAGTACCATCATGGCTGGTGAATGGAGTGACTGCTTCATAAAAATTTTGACTACATGCAGCATACACGTTATCGTCCGTGCGTGGTGATAGTCCTGAAGGGTTACTTTGACCTTTGAGATAATATGTAGATCGTAAGAAAATATAAAATGCAATTATACGAGCTTTAGATATAGAGGAAAACGAGCTTTTCATGTTTCTTAGCGATTACAAATAAATGTAAATGACTTAAAATTCATATAATGACACATAATACATATCGTGCGGATTTACTTTCATAAGAAACGCTCAAACCCAAACAGATGCATGCCATGGAAGTAAAACATTTAGAAACGTTAGAAGCTATGTGTGAACATTTGTGAAACTATTCTTTTTACAAAGAAATATGGCATTTGAAAATGTTGTGGTATCAAAATGTCAACAAAAACAATGTATGATCATGTATAGCGATGGATTACATTTGATTTTAAGGGCACAAGTAAAATTGTTCCAAAATTTTAAACGATTGTATCTATACCCCGTTCACACGACAAATCAGAATCCGATTTGACAACAATATAGGTTTAAGGATTAAATGTGTTTTTATGAATCTGGAGTCAAACTATTTGAGCTGAATAATTTGAAATCCGATTTAAATTAACATCCGATATGTGTGTAGAATAAAAAGACGTTTGAAAACAGTCATTTTCTGATCAAGAACATATCAGTGCGGATCCATTTTGATTACTGTTTTCTGCGCTAGAAAATCACGTGCTTGCATGAAAACTCATTTCACTAGAATGTGGCATTAAATCTAGAATGACAAGTATACATTACAGAGCCACATGTAAACGCAAACTGGTATTCAATTCTGATATGATAAATCAAGACATACATCGGATTTCATAATATCGGATTTGAATCTAGCATGCTTGTGAACAGGGTATCAGGAACAATGTTTAAGTTTCACTAGTTCAATGTTTACCCTCTGAGGGACACAGAGGAGAAATTGGGTTTACCCGTTTGACCCTGGAGTTCAACGAAATACTTAAATTAACTATTAACACACAGTAAAATAGAGCGATACTATCATTATTTGGCATAACAAACTTTCCTCCTTTTCCTGAATATGAATATGGAATGTGCAGCGTTATTCACTACCAAAAGTTCATCGTTTTCATGGTAGTAGTCTATACTCCAAGGTCGGTCAATGCCATCTGATCTCCCTAATACTACGCTGGAATGTGAGTGAATAGACGGTTTCACAAAAATGGTGTCATTGTTATGACATGCAACAAATAAATTATTGTCTCTGTCGGTCGTCAGCCCTGTCGGATTATTTACACCGATAAAATTGTATATAAATCTTTTATTGTTTCTTAGATTGTAAACATGAATGCTTTCATCTTTCATTTTAGCAGAATAAAGATTTCCCTTGTTATCGATATGAAAGTACAATTCCCCTTTAATATCAATATTGTGTTTGACTATTTTTCCAGAACTGTTAATATAAGTCAACCCTTTATTTCCGCAGTTAGCTATTAGATTGTTTTCATAAAAGACTAATCCTTCGCAATAATCATAAACAAGAATGGTATTTAGGATCTGCCATCTATCTGTGTCTATCACGCACACTTTTTGCTTACACATAAGAGTTAGACCTACGCAATTGTCATCTATAATAGCTATGCATTGTGGTACACCAATAAGCTTAATTTGACCCCTTTTCTGGCCATTTCTGCGGTAGATCATACACCTAGGATTTGACTTTTCAACAATAGCTATGTCGTCTTTGTTCGGCATCCATTTTGCATCATTAATAGAAATATTTTTATTGTTTTTCTCAACAAAAAACGATTTCATAAGATAGAATTCGAATAATGAACCATCTGCAGTAGAAGCCTTGCACGAGATATGCGTTGTGTGTGTAACAGGGAATGACGACGAACATGTAACAGCTGATGTATGTGGCAATTCTACTGGCAAAGTAGTAGTACATGTCATAGGCACCGAAGATTTAGTACCTTCAACGGAAGAAGTTAATGGTAATTCTAAGACTGACGGATAAAATTCAAAATAAGAATCTTTTGAGTGGTTTGGTTCTAGTTCAATTATAGAGGAACCCGATTCTAATCCATCTTCAATTTTATCTCCCTGATATTTTAACATACCGCTGTCTTTCCCCTGAAAAGTGCGTAGGATGCGCTCTACAGTTATACTATCACTAGTCTTTTCGTACGACAGTTTGTAATTAGCGATACCTTGTAGACTGCAAACTGGATAGGTCTCATCACTTTCGGGATACCCATCTTCCATGTGTTTCAGACGTATAATTTTTAAATATTTTTGCCCTAAAGACATATCAGATTGTTTTGTATTTACTATAATTTTGTGTTGGTTCGTCACATATTTTTGTCTGGCAGTGAGACTTGTTATTCTTTTGTTTATTTCCCTTGTTTCATTTCCGTATTCTTTGTTTATTTCTTGCTCGATGACATTTTGCAATAAATCTAGATGTTTATTAATGGCAGATCTTGTATTCTTTAGCTCTTCAATACAACTATCTTTGATAATTTCTAAACCTTTAAGATTTGACCTCTCATTATCTACAACTTTAGTTAGACGGCTTTTGCGTTCTTCGATTCCCAATAAGAGGTCTACTATGGTAGTTGCCAGTTTGGTGTCGTCCGCTACGTCATCAACTTTCTCAACGTCGCAACAATCTATATGGTATTGTCTTTTACAAAGAATGCAGCAAGGCTTTTTGTGTTTAATACAAAAATATTCTAAAGATTTATCGTGATGTTCATCACACATAGCCCACATGTTTTTTCCGACATCAACAACTTCATTCTCTGTACCAGAAGATGGTTCTTCTACGGCGAGTGGCGGCAATTTTGACACGTTGTGATATCTGCTAACTTTGAATGACATGTGTAGTGATTTACAGCTATTACATAGCGCTTCCTCACATTCGTCGCACCACAATTCTGCAGATGCATATTGACCCTGTTCACGACATGGTTGACACTGCATTATCTGAAACAAAACTAAATTAATGATAATCAGGAGCATTCATTTTTACACTGATCCATGTCAGTTTACTGTTTCAGAACGAATTAGTTCTTAACTATTCACAGATGTCGTTCGTTTCAAAATTCATGTCTGTAATAAATAGATTTAAAGATCTTTTTTCAGAAAATAAGAAGTGGGAAAGCAATCTAGGGACTTTTGAACCTGTTTTATCTATTCATGTTGCCCCAAAATGAATACATATATTCATGCAATAGAACATGACTTTTAACATAAAAATTTCTACATAAAGCCATCAGATTTCTTATTTAATAGCTCACTCACTGTATGGTGTGGGTTTTGCTCATTGCAATAGATCATGGGGTAGCCTATAACTGCTTACAGCCACGTCATTTGAACTCTGACGATTGTTTTCTCATTGGCAATCATACTTTGTATTCTTATTTTTATACTAAGAATGCCTGTTGCTTACATTTTTTCTTGTGGTTTAGTTCAAGTTCAACTTTCTGTTTTCGTGAGTTTTCTTATTTTTTTGTAAATAGTTGGCCAGTCGTGTTCCCATGTCAAGTTAATATAACTCTTTGTGGTTTTTCTGGTTTTTGTCATGGTGGTAGTTCTTAAAACAAATGTCTAAGAGAGGTTGGTATTGCAGTTTTCGATGGTGTCATAAATCCTTTACTCTATAGTTTGCTTGCGTTTTATGTTTCATAATCTCAAATTCTCCAGTGGTATTCCGTAGAGCGTTCTCACTCCACTCTTCTGATTGTAAACGGTGTTTTTAATAAGAAAAAGGGGTAGCGAATAGTTGTTTGACTGAGGCATCTGCTTTCCATCAAAACCAAGTGTTGTTTGCATTGTTGTATCCAGCATCAATGAACAAACTTTTTTGTCGAGATGTACAAATGTTGCTGTATTAATGGATTATTTTGTTATTATTTTCACTCTGATGATACCTCCGGTTATAGACTGAAAATGCCCATGAGTGTCATCAGCCTATAAGCGTAGTACTTAGGTACTGACTTGAAAAGATATATATTGTTTTTATGAAATTTGCAGTAATAAAATGATTTAAAACTTATGAAATCTTTTGAAATAAAAGAATGTTTTTCCATCACGCATAGCGTTAAACATGTTAAAAAGACATTGTTTCTCTAAATATGCATTTGGTGAAATAAAATTGGCTTCCCTTTTTCAGTCCCTTTATGTCTTACATATCATAATGTATCTATGCATTTCTATATCCTCGGTTTTCAAATCTTAAGGCATGAGCTTACAATTTGAAGGTAAATATAGAAAAGTGCTTCGAAAACACGAAATTTATGAAGCTTTTTTTAATAAACGAATACCATCTTGGTTTGGTTGATTATTATCATGATATATCTGTATCACAGATAGAAGTACTAGTAGATATATTTGATTTGTTGGGCCCAATATCGTCCTCGTTTTTCTCGTCGATGACATCAAAGACTGCACATTATTACTAGATTTATGCTTGTCAGATGTTTTTTTTTCAATTTTGAAGTTAGATTGAAAAGGCACATTGGAAAAAATAACATTTATCTGTATATTGTTTTAAGATTCAATTTGTTAAGCGTCATAGAAAAGAACGAAACCAACAATTATCATAAATGAATTTTATTTTTACAAATAAACAAATGAGAAACTTACAATCATTATGATTTCAAAATCCTAATTATGTATACTGTATATATAGATTTTGATTCAAGTACTTCCGAATTAAGTTAAAGTCGAAGTTTGTCCAATGAATAAAGTTAATTTCAAAGTTCAAAGCTTTATAAATCCAAAAGTTATAAGTTAACAAACAGGATGTTTACATATGATGTATTTTACCAATAACAAATAAAGATAGTTTTTCTCATTTGCTTAAAACACAAAATGTAAATGACTGTATCTAGTCCACAAATTAATAATTAAAAACCGAAATGGGTTACAGTGTACCTTACCTTGTAATTTTTAATTATTTAGTGATAGGGGTAGTCAACGATTTTGCCATTGTTGATCAATAAAAAGGTTTTTTCTTCAATTTTCAATATTCCTTTTGTTTATCCCAAATAACAATATATCAAGGAACTTGTTTTTTCATGTACAGTTTTCTTTCTGTACCATAACAAAAGTATAGTATGATTAAAAATTTACCATACCTTTAATTTCAATAGCAAACAAATATTTGTAAACCACGAATTTACCCTTAGCTTTGTTGATTGAATTGTTAAAAATAGCAGTAACAATATCAGATATGTGTTTAAAAGTTTAAGGTTTATGACCCCTTCTGTAGCCATGTGAATTACGAAATTTCAAAACTGCAATAGTATCAAAACAGCAAAAATAATGAATAATAGCGACGGGCCATTCTGTACATATACCAAAGGGAAACTACGTGCAAAACATTATTATTTATTTTTATATGCATTTAATGGAAAATATGGATTTTGTGGCAAATAAAACCAGGATTTTTGTAGAAAATCCACAGACTTTAATACAGAGATTTTCGTTATAAAATTTTAAACATAGATTACTCACTTGTTTGTCCATTATATGCTAGCGTTTATATTTTACAAAAAGTCCTAAATAACCTTTACATTCCCCAAAACCTCGTGCTGATTCATTAAAGTCGAGCGCACCCTAGAAGGTGTACTTGAATTGGTCCATTTTTATATTTGTTTTAACCAAAATCCTAATTTATAAACGTATTTTAAGGAAATCATTGCTAGCACTGCATGCAATAATTCTCTATCTATCAAGCACCGAGTTTTCAAGTATTAGAGTACAAGGGGAAAGGGTGTGGATTTTCTATAAAATGTCCATATGTTTAGCATTGAATCAACACAAGGGTACATAATCCTTAAAGCTAAATCTTTTCATTTACGCCAAGGACAAGAAATGAGTCATATTTTCAAATTTGTATCATAAAAAGCGTGTTTTTTTAGGTACAGCATTATTGATTGATTGATTTGCGATTGTCTTACGACGCATCAGCGCAAAATGGCTATACCGCGGCAAAACGTACAGGAGTAGTCATAGCTCCTGTACGTTCGCTGTGTCTTGACAAAATGGTGTAATACGTTTCACATTATCGAAAATTATATTAAAAAAAATAATACGCGAGTACTAAATGTCTCACCTACTTATGCCTTTCGAAAAGGGAAACTATATTATAATTTTAAAATGAACCCCAAACCAGTCGCAAATAAGATAATATTGTTAAATTTTTCCACATTCAGATTGAGATTACTTTAGACTTATGACAAACAAATCTTGTTGTCACCTGATGTTTTATAATATTTTTTCAGGAAGTAAAGTTTTTTATCGATATCGCACTAAAAAGGGAAATTTACAAACCATTTAGGATTTATCTCGACAGAAGGAAACAAAGAAATTATGTCTTCCTGACCGATCCCATGAAAATTTGTTATAATTACCTTATAGCATAAAAACCTAATGGTTTTGAAGTAATAAAAAACAAAGCGTTTACGCAATATGACAAAATAGATATAATGTTACCCAGTTTCAATTTCGTTTCTGCAATTCTAAAGATAGCTTTATAGATCAACTATTTCAACAGTGTACTCGCTATTTTTAACAGAAATAAAGTTGACATTTCGAAATGTGCATCTGGTGCATAAAAATTAGAACCACTGGGTCGCTACCTCTGGTGGTGGACTGTTAATCCCCGGGGGGTATCAACAGCCAAGTAGCAAAGACTTCGGTAATTACATGAAAATTACGGATATTGTGTTATTAAAACTTGCGTGCCCTGATCTTTTGCCCTGCTTTATCAATAAAATGTGCACTATTTGTTTTATAAGCTCTTTATCCTGTTAATACTTATTTGATTTTAAGTAGACATAAAAAAAACACAAAAGAAAAACCAAAGACTATTTATGAAATAGAAGTTACTAGCCACTTGTTATCAACATAAACTTTTATTAAACAAAGGGCACAATGAACAGCTCAATGCCATTTTTATTTGAATTTTTTAAGTTGCTCTTATTTGACCGAGTACCATAATGGGTTATCACAGAGTAGCTAACCTGTCGACAAAATTTATACTCTGGAGTCAAAAGTCGGTAATATGAAAATAGTCTATCGATAAATATTATTCACTTACAAAAAATAAGTATATAGTTATTAATTCAACAGTACCTGCATTCGTTTATTATATAATAAAACAATGTGTCTTATTGCAGCATCTTTATTCATGAGTAAATATGTATGCGACATCATTTATGTATCAATGTTTATATAGAATAAAATTCATGCAAAAATATGTGTTAAATCAACACAGGTGTTTTGACTCTGATACCGTGCCATACAGTTAACACGGTTCAAGTGTTATGCATAAATTTATATTTCTTCCGCCTAATGTTTTTGATAGATAAATTGATCTATATCATTGATGCATTAAGGTAATAATAATAACAATGTCTGCTTGGTCAGGAATAAATAATGCAACTCGTTGCACTTAGCTTAGAGTGGAATTTTCGTAAATAATGAGAACGAATGTTTATCACTTTTCCACTGAAATTCTGTCATTTACAGTGATTGATCAAGTAACGCTTGAACTAAATGGTTTAATTCTAAACTGTCTAACAAAATAAACAAAATATGTACATAAACTCACGTTTTACTGGAAGCTTGATGATAAAATGCCTGTCCTGTTGGGAACTTAGCTCTCCGTTTTAGACTTTTCGTAGTCATAGTTGCAGACTATAAACAGAATGTCATATACGACAGCCCATGAACGGCCATGATTTGAAAACAATTTTATTTGACATTCTATTTCCATATACGACTTTCGCATTTAGTTCAATCTATCGGCCATCGATTTATATTCAATTCAATTGATAAAATCAACAACAGTAACCGTTATCTACATGATATTTTTCATTAAATAATCAAGAACTTTCTAAATGTATTGCCTAATTTTACACAAAGGAACGTTTATTAGATAAATCAACTACAAACGGTAGTAACTGTCCTTTCCTAGATTAAAATACTACAGTTTAACATGAGACGATGTTTGTTTCGACGGTGATTTGGCCGCATCTTGCGGTGTTTATATATCCCAACTCGGTTGCTATGTCCGTGTCTGTAGTGACGTTGCTGAGCTAATGAAGACAATATTTGTATATATGGTAAATTATTAAGGTAGATTCATGGTATACCGCCATCTTGGATTGTACAATCGCAGTACACAATCGGTCTAGTTATTTGCCCAAATCTGCAAATTAGGAGACATATTTGCAATTTATTTGTCACACTGTTTATTCATTTAAAGAAAACTTGGTGATTTATTGTATTATTCAAAATATTCCAACAAATATTAAATTTTGTGTTTTGGAATCATTTTTTTCAACTAAGCCATTTAAGGGGAGATAACTCTTTTAGTAAAAAATTACACTGGCTTGATAGGGAAATTTTTAATTTTTACTTTTAGCAAGAAAACAAGTTCGGTGACACCATTTTTTCTTTTTATTTTCTTAAAACATGTTATAAAACCTATCTTCTCACAATTTATTTCAAAATTCTATCTCATAGATTTCTTTTTATGCATACAAATGAGTTTTTTCATGAACAATCTAACCAGATTTAGGCAAGTTTCAACGACTCATAGCTTGAAAAATAGCACGGTGACCCATACTTTTTATTATATTTTTGAAAAAAGCATAGTAAAATCTTCATTTTGGCAAAGTATAAGAAAATTCTATCTCAAAAAATATATACCGATGATCTACCTTAAGTCAGGGACTTCGAAACCACAAATATTTGAAACCTTTACTAAATGTTTGTATTTCAACTAGCATTGCATTCAGTAACTGCTAGTATTCCTTGATTTGTATTAGATTTGTGTCTTTTGTTTGTTTTGTTTTTTTTGGGTTTTTTTTTTTTTTTTTTGTTGTCTGTGATTTGTATGGTTCTAATGAAAAACCTTTCTCAATATAAATAAGAAAATGTGGTATGAGTGCCAAGACAACTCTCCATTCATGGAAGGAGGCTTTGGTGACCGCAAATATGTTGAACCCCGCCGTATTCTGTTTGTGCCTGTCCCAAGTCGGGAGCCTGTTATACAGTAGTTGTCGTTTGTTGTTGTATATGTTCCAGACCATATGAGTATTTGGACCGTACGCGTACGGTCCGAGCATACGTACGGTCGGACCATATAAGTATACTCATACGGTCTAGGACGAACTGGACCATATATGTATTTGGACTATATGGGTTAATTTTAGACAAACATTTATCAAAATCTTTTATTTAATTTACAAACTAATGTAATTACAATTAGATGAATAAAGTGAAATATCATCAACCCTACACAATAATCGGGAAAGATCATATGAACAACTGATATTATTAGAATAACAAAGCTACCTTCTTCATTCTTTGCATTAGTTTTCGACACGTTTTTATTATATTTTCTCATTGTAGTTTCGACGGATTTTTTTATAGGATTTGTCTAGTATCTTTGACGGTTTTTGTAGTAAAGTTCCTAAATATTTTAAAATCTTTTGTTCCAACATTATGTTTACTTCCGATAACTTCAATTTCAGTGCGCATTATTAATCTCATGTATTACTGACATGCTAAATACAGGAGCTTAACAGATTAAATTAACGTGACTTTTTTAAATAGTTAAAATATTAAGTTTTTATTTCATTTACAATTAAACTTTTTAAATTAATAAGAGATTTCAGTTATATTGATCTGTAATATACATTTGTATCTAATAAACTTGACCAACATCTTAAAATTAGGCAGACCGTACGCGTACAGTCCGACCGTATGCGTAGTTTGAAAAAGTTCGTATACTGTCCAGACCGTACGATTGCAGTCCAAATACTCATATGGTCTGGAACATTTAAATTATTTGGTTTTCGTTTATTGTTTTGTACATAGATCTGGCCGTTAGTTTTTCTCGTTTAAATTGTTTTACATTAGTCATTTTGGGGCCTTTTTATGCATTTTGGGTTTAGTTTATTAAAGAAGGCCGTACGGAGACCCATAGTTGCTTACTCCTACGTCATTTGTTCTCTGGTGGGGAGTCGTGTCTTGGCTATCATACCACATATTCCTAGTTTTATATGCTAATGAAATCAAATCAATTTGTTATTAAATGTAATATTCTTACAAGCAGATAGAAATCTAGCAAAAAGTTCCGATCAAACCGTTGCTATGGGTCGTCTTGAACTACGAGTGAGGTGTGATCGTTTACTTAATGATAAAGGTCTCACTGCAGCATTGCGTTTCTGCTTTGCTTCTATATTTTTCAATTGCGTATAGTGATTGAGCGTTATGTATTTCCACATCAAATTCTCATTAAATTCTTTCTTTTTAATCTGGTAAGTGCTCAGAGAGGACTCTTTAACTAACCACGTTACCAAGTTGAAACTAAATATACATCCAAATCTTGCGTAAATATATATGAGTTTTTTTTGTTTGTATTCTCTAGATAAGTTATTGTGTAAATAGTGACTTTGTTTCCTATCGCACAATTCACCTTTCTCAGTTGCACCTTGGACCTTCCCCAAATGCACCATGCACCTTTCTCGATTGTGCGATACACCAATCCACATTGCGCCATACACTATTCCAATTTGCACCAAACATCATGATCATCTCCCTTCACACTTAACAATTGAGGGGCTTTTTATCATATCAATTGTTTATATGTATTTGAATCTTATATTAGTCGGGCTTTATGGGTTTGTATTATTTCATATTTTGAAAATCATCAAATATCTTCTTTAAAAACTTAATAGATAAGTGTCTTTTGATTCTCTTTTGATTCTATGTTATGCAATCTTTTCATAAGTTGAATTATTAGTGTAAATAATATCTTTATTTAGAAGTACATGAAGGTTTACAAACTACGCTCAATTGTTTGGAAAATAAAGAGGATATCTACATAATTTCAATATACAAATTCCTTTTCGATGTTCGATATACCATTCAATCGTACACGATACCCATTTACACCAGACACATACACCATACACTAGTTTAATAATGGATGTTTTCAAGGTTATTGTCATATTCAATATTGGTGCGTTAATTACGGCAATTTTTCAAAACTGAAAATTAAAAAAAGTCTTCTGTTTTTACACCTTCGCACCAGTTGCAGTCGTTTCTGTGGTAGTTCACAAAGTAACTGTACTACAGACAGTTAGAAATGATCAGGGCTTGAACATGTTGTATAGACACTATATATTATTAGAATATTTCAAAAACAAACAATACCTTTGCACATGTCATAAATATAAAGGCTGTTTATGAACTGCCAATTCTTCGTATCTATCACACCATTAAAGAAGACATACACCTATACATGATTGATGTTTATTTTTACAATGCTATCTGGTTCACCACAGAGCTGAATTGACCTTTTTTCTGGCCATCTTTGCTGTACATTTAACACCTAGGCTTAGACCCTTCAACTTAAGCTATTTAGTATTTGTGCAGTATCAATTTTGCATCACATAAACATAGATTTCTGTTTGTTTTTTCAAATAAAAAGGTACACAGAAGTCTAATGGACCTTTCGAGAAGTACCTATTTAGGGTCAAACGTAGTTCGTGCAACAGGTGAGGTTTGTGGCAATACTCCAGGTAACATTTTCGGACACGCCAAAGAAACAAAAGGTGCACTTGTCGCTTGAGAACTTAATGGTGATTCTTTAACTGGTTCAGACAATGCCGAGCTACTTATAATTTGTTTGGTTCCAGTACAACAACAGAGGAACAATTTCCATCTATCTTATTTTCCATAGATTTGCCAATCTTGCTATGTTTCTCTTGGAAATGGTTATACAATCTTCAGTTGTCTTGTAAGACAGTTTATAAATAGCAATACTTTGTAATTTGCATACTGGAATGGTAGCGTGGCTTCATTTTAACCACCCTTTATGCGTTTTAGACGAAAAATCCTTAAGTACAGTTCCCCTACGGATGGCCCAGATTGCTTACTAGTAGTTGTATCTTCTATAAAAAAAAATGAAAACAACACGCTATACATTTCATGCGTCCGAAGCGCTTTTCTGGATTTCCCTTCATCAGGAACGCTCAAAGCCGAATATTTGAAAGCCACGGATGTATAGGAACCGAAACAGTTGAAGAGCTATATTACTAAAAAGGACCTGAAATATAGCCAAATCCATCTAAGGTCGACTTTGCCTGAGGGAGTTAAAAACCTTAGTTTCTAATACTTTCAAAATTCAGTAACGGACAATTTAAAAAGGTTTGTTATAAATCATGTCAGTATCGAAGTACTGACTACTGAGCTGTTGATACTCTCGGGGACTGATAGTCCACCAGCAGAGGTATCGATCCAGTGCTGTAAAAAAATTAAAACAACACGTTATAAATTACCTACGTCCGAAGCGCTTTTCTGGATTTACCTCATGAGGAACGCTCAAAGCCAAGGATGTATAGAAACCGAAGCAGTTGAAGAGCTTTATTATCAAAAAGGACCTAAAAATAGCCAAATCCTAAAGTCAACTTTGCCCGAAAATGCTAGTTTTCCTCAATACACGAAAGTATTTGCTGATTGATAATATCATTCATTCTGGTTGTAAGATTTATAAATCTCTTGTTTATTCCCCTTGCATCATTTTACTACGTTTTGTTCATTTCTTGTTCGATGTCATTTCGCAATATATCTAGATGCTCATTAATTGCAATTATAGTATTCTTTCATTCATCAATACAATT